CAAAACTTCTCCCAAGGACCCGAGCGCGGGCTCGGAAGTGTTCCAACCCGTCCAGCGTGTCTCCGCCGTCTTGTTTTCTTTGGTTGCAGCTTCTGACGTGCCGCTGTCTTCTTCCATTGTGGCAGGTCCGGTTTCTGCAGGGTTGGAGGTCGAGGCAGTTGGGACTGTGCGCAAGCGCAGGAGGCCGTCGGAGGCAGGTTGCTCGAGATCCATCTCGTCGGGATGTGTCCATGTTGGTGGCTCTGTGGGAGTTGTTTTTAGCAGCAGTATGCGGTGGGAATCGCCGGTGGTGCCCTGAGCTGAAAATTGCAGCACGAAGACTCCGTCGTCATCGATCGCCTTTCCGATGTAAGTTTCTTTGTAGAAGAGCTCGAAGGTCTTCTCCTTTCGATTGCTGCGAATGTCGATTCCGCACCGCATGAGTTGCGCTGACGAGAGTAAATTGTATTGTAGGTCAGGTGCGACGAGGACGTCTCCGATGTGCATGGTGAACTTCGTGTCATTGGCCTCGAGGTAGATTTCGCCAATCTCATATGCCTTCATTTTTCCGTTGTTGGCGGCGGTGATTTCGCAGAGCCGTCGCATACGCCATAATTTGCTGATAAACTTTGGCGATCCCACCATGTGTTGCCCGCAGCAACTGTCGAGGTACCACGTGTCCAGATCGTCGTAGCGCTGACGGGCGAGGTTGGCGATCTTGGGTGTGACGATTCGATCAAGGTCGCCGGCATACGGTGAGAGGGCGAAATATCTGTTTGCGGAAATGCTCGGCGGCGATTCCGGAGTAGGAGGGGGGAGCTCAAAGTCAGGAGGAATGTCTGAGGGGTGAGAGGACCAAGTAAAGGCTGTTGGGTCATTGTCTGTGCTGGGCGCAACAGGGTTGATGGGATTGTCGCGAGCGAATGTTATTCGATCCCAGTAACGGGACCCTCTATTGCGACGAGCCATGCAGCTTCTGATTGTCCCTTTTCCTTTGTCCTTCGCCGTGATGAGTGTAGGAGATTGAGAAGTGCTGGCGACGGAAGAAGGCGACACAGTGGCGGAGGGCTTTGTTTGTGCCGATGGTTGTTGTTGGTTGGAGGCGTTGCTGTCAGAATCGATCATCAGCGGCCTGACGCTTGTAGCACTGGTCGATAGTGTGGCCAGACTTCTTGCAGTATTTGCAGAAAGCTCCCTTCTTTTCGCGTTGCTCCCCTTGTGATGCTCCTGTGTAGAAGACTAATTTCTCTCGTTTAACATTCTTCTCGTTGTACAGGTCGATTTCCTTCTGCTCTGAAAGCAGCGTGGCGCACAGAGCCGACTCCGATATGGTTGCTCGGGCGCGAAGGAGTGATTGGCACTGTCGCCAGTCGGGGCCGAGGCCAGAGATGACCATCGAGATGAACATGTCATCCGGGACAGTCCCACCGCATTTCTTGATTTGGTCGCGCAGATTGCGGCACCGGTTGACATACGGTCCCGCTTTCTCCCCATGCTTCATTTTAACAGATGTTAGCTGGCTGAGCAGACGACTCATCGTAACTGGATCTGTTGCCATCTATTAGTTGCGCAGGTGTTCCCAAGACGCGTGCGCGGGAGCCCACTCCGTCTTGTAAGGACGAATGCCAAGCTGTTCTTCAGGTGAGAGGTTGCGAAGGAGAGCTGTGTACGCGAGGAGTGATTCGTGGTAGTATTGATGCTTCTCCTGGATGGTGCCTTCCGAAGGAAAAGGTAGGCTTCCGTCGTAGTACATCCAGATCTGAGCGGTTGTCGCGAGAAGCTCAAATTCAAAACTCCACGTGTAAAAATCCTTTTCGTCGAAAGAGATTGAGGTCTTCAATTTTGAAGTCAATACAAATTTGGTTTGCATTGAAGCGATGTCTGACTATGAGCGTTGTGGGTTGTCTTGTGCAGGAGCTGACCCTTGACGATTGTAAAAGGTGAAAGATCTCTCGGAGTTGACGCGGCGGTCTTCTCTAGGAAGAGGGAGTCCAGCAACGCCACGTGCATAGCTTGAGCCATCAATGCTCATTGCTTGATGGCTTTCAAGGGCGTTGATGCGTGCGACTAGCTCCTCAACGACAACGGCGCTGACGGAGGTCATCGCTGAGGGCGCGTTAGTCGTTGCTGGTGGTGGGCCCGGTGAGTCTGCAATGGCTTTTCCTTCAGGAGCTATAGTTTGCAGGCTTAGAAATGTATTGAGTACGTTTGTAATGAGATTGTTCTAGGAAGAACGAGGACTTGGCAGATCTTATAATCTACTCTTGCTCTCACACCATGCTGATATAACCAAAGGATCCAGTAGATAGGATATGATATGTTAAGTCTGAGAGGATACATAGGAGTCTCTGTAGTGACCATGTTGAATAATAATTGAAAGAGAACAAGATGATTTGACAGATAGGAGTAAAAGGGTTTAAATAGAAATCTAGCTAGCCATGTACTCTGAGGGGTACATTCCCTTATTAACTGTATTGCATAGCTACAGTAACCGCGACTATTGCTACCCGTATTTTCCCGGATAAAACACCCCCCAGTAATTGTACACCCCCGGGTAGCTAATACGGGGTGGGTGTTATATCCGACCCCGTTTGTACTATACCCCCCTTTTGGGGTGATTTTCTATAACACCCCCTTTTCTTATAGATTCCTATTATAGTTGTTATCGAGTCCGATTCCTTACGGGAGGATATCGCGAGAATTGCTCCCTAGGTGAAATTTCGCGTGTACTTTCACTTAAAATCTGCCAAGATTTCCCCCCTCCCACAATCTCGCTGTCGCCACGCTGGCGAATCTTCCGCTGCAAGTGGCCCCATGTGCTGGCAACGCACAGACACGAAATCTGGAATCAGGGGTTTCGTTACGGTACAGAACGGTTTAGGGTAAACTTTTGAGCAAATGGTATCCAAAGGTCCCCATCCCACTCCCATATTCGTGGAATGCTGGAACAAGGCTTCAGCGCGCCAATGCGGATCTCTCTGCTGATTACAGACCAGAAATTGAACAGCCTAGATCGTGCCACATCATTTTCATACCCCACCCAACCCACCTCACTTACACGTGACCAAACCAGTCAAGAAGTGACTGGTACAGTAAGAACGCACCACCGTGCGCGATTCTGGCCGGCGGTTGCATGAACCCTCGCCACGCAATCGGCTTTGTTTTCACCTTATCAAGTGCCAAAATTGCCCACTCTAATATGCCACGTGGCAGATTCCAGTGGGCTGTCACGTTATCCTCGTATACTCGGTTTTGCGGCACTGGTCAACAATCTTGAAGTGAAGTCAGACACCTGATTTTGTTTCACATCTTTTCTACTTGATAAAAATTATACCATATAATAAGACCCGGGTATTATGTAAGATTTTCCTTTGAGGAGACCCCCCCCATTTTTTCCCAGTGGTTTTCATAATACCCTAGGGTGTTTTATCCGGGAGAATACGGTATTCTCGACAGTTACCATGTTGCAGTGAATTAACTGTCGCGCGGTTACTGGATCGTCAAATGTCGCGACCGTTGACTTCCTCAGACGGTTGTTCTTCGGGTGACCCCCGACATTCCGCATGCTCTATATGAGCTGTTGCGGTATTGGTACAGTGGAGCAGCTTCGGGAATGCTTTATATAACCTTTCGGTTGTTTCAACACATGGCTCAGGGAGAGGTATCAAAAGGAAAAAAAGGGGAAGAGAAAGAGATGAATAGAAAGGGTAGGGGTGCTGTAGTTCTTCTCCAACCTATATGCCTCTTACCCCTCCAGTGTTGCCTTGGATGATGAGAGATGGTAAGTTGAGCCTTTGATTTAACTTTCTTTTAGTGGCATTAGCGCAATTTTTTTTCTCAAAATGTTGGACTTCTTCTGAAGTAACAGCTCTCAGAGGTGTTGAATTAGGTGTTGGAATAAATTGATGCTTGTTCCATGTCAGTAAACAGATTGTCGGATATCACCACCAATGTTTGCCAAGCAAGCATCAGAGCACCTACACAAGTACCGTATGCCTTTGGGTAGAAGAGGAAACTGCAATTGTTGTGACATGGTTTCCTCATTTCGGTAAATTGTTTCATGGTTCAGTATCCCCTTTATTGGGCAATGACAGAGCGATATCCATTTCTTGGGGTCATCATCTGCTGTTCGACAACAAGCACAAGCACTTCCTAGAACAGAGTCGAGTGTCAGAGCACCATCACAGTCTCACCGACTTTTCAGGAGATGGAATGCCGAGGGCAGAGTTTTAGTAGCAGTTATTGCAGTTTATGCTAGAAGCAGAGTGTTACACACACGACACGTGTTTCTGGCCGTCACCTTCTCTTTCCGGCTGTTCCTGTACTACGATTGTAGCGGACGTATTTGTTAGCGAACGGCTAAACGTGTCCTAGAAAACACAAAACCAGCTGAAACTGAACGACGAGCTGAATTCTGTCTCCTTGACCCGCTCCCCGATCAACGTCCCCTCTCCTGCTCGCTCTCTTCGTGTTCTCATTCGAGTCGACTCCGAGACGCCGCCATGGCGGAAACGCAGGAGCTGCTAGCTGCGCTGACGGAACATCTGAGCGATTTTTGAGTCGACTCAAAATTCGCCATCAGGCGACCAGACACATGTGTTTTTTAACGTCTCAAGCTTTCCTCCTCCGAGGCAAACTCCGAGACCATCATGGCGGAAACACAGGAGCTGCTGGATTCGCTAACGGAGCATCTCGGCGCGTTCCACCGCACCGCATGCCGTCGCGAGTCTCAACGCGCGTCGTTGTCATCCAATTCCTCCGCTGCGAGGGTCTCGGGCCAGGCGGAACCACGTCAGAGACGGTCAATAAGAGGGACCAGTACAGGAACGACTACTAACGCTGTCAGAATTCCTCCCACGCGTTCGCCTAAGGAGCTGATTCACGCATGGTTGAAGCAGCTAGATGTGGATACAAGGCGGCGGATTTTCACGGTAGTGGACCCGCAGTGGACGCAGATTCTCCTTCAAATGGCGGCTCATGTGCGCATGAACGGCCTTGGTCAGTTTATCGTTCTCTCGGACATGCTCGAGCAAACCCCCGTTACAGTCACCCAGGAGGCTTCGCACAAGGCAGCACCGTGTGCAGGTGGTTCGCTGCATAAAGCTTCTGCGGGCGCGGGCGCGGGCGCGGGTGGGGGAGCGGGAGCGGGAGCTGCTACTTCTGCTTCCCATGGTCATGGTAAAGGGCGAGGGAAGGGGAGCAAGGGAGGAGGTGGCGGGAAAAGGAAAGGTAAGCCCAGTGGTCGTGTCGGAGCGGAGGACGGTTCAAAAACAGCAAGACACTCGCAGGACCTAGGACTACCTCCTAGGACTGACGATCAGGCTACGCCTTGCACACCCAGGACTGACGGTTTTGACGGCTTTCCTGTGGACAAGGCCGGTACGCCGCCGCAGCTCGTTGGGAAGCCTAGGGAGCTGTCAGCGGGTCCTCCTCTGCCCGCCATCTGCTTCAAGCGGTGTGAAGGCATGTGGACGCGGCTGGGGCGGCAGCAGAGGGCGGCTGGGCGAATCGAATCTGCCATCAGGCTCTTTTCCTCCTCCTCGCCTTCTCCGTCTCCTTCGGCGCAGCAGGAGACGGGGGGCCTTGCAAAGCAGGCGGGTGCTTTGCAGGAAAAGTTCTCTGATAAATATTCTGTAGCTTGTACAGGTAGTTCAAGCATTACTAAGGCTGCACGTGGGTCGTTTCAGGACCAGGTGCAGCCATCTGTAGATTCCCTCACACTGGCTGACTCGTTACTAGCTAACGTCGACCTGTTTTTCACGGTCATGGAGGAGATTTCCTGGGGAGGATTCCTCACGAAAGCGCCTGCAAGGGCCCATTCTTCCAGCACCACCATTCATGGCAGCAGCAGCACCAGTGGCAGCAGCGGCACTGGTAGTAGCACCAGCAGTAATAATAGCGGCGGCAGCAGCGGGCAGGGGCAGTATTCGTGGGAGGAGCTGCCATGGCTGCAGGCGCTGGGGTTCTACCCGCTGGCTGCCTTTGTTGCCAGCCGCCTGGAGATCCACCTGTGGCGCGCCTGGGACCGCGCCAGGTCCCTTGGAGCTGTAGTAGCAGCGCCCACAGCAGGGGTGGGGGGGGAAGGCGGGGAAGGAAGGGGGGATGGAAGGGTAGCTCAGGTGGGAGTGGGGTTTCATGACAAAACAGGCACCACTGCTGCTGTTGCAGGTGGCGGCAGTAGTGGCAGCAGTGGTGGTATTGGGGTTGAGAGCAGAGTAGCGGAGTGCCCGGCGCTGTCTAGAGTGGAGAGGGTGGAGCGGTGGTGGAGGGAGAAGCAGGGCTCTGGTGGCGCGGAAGCAAAGGCGCTTCAGGGCGCCGTGTGCCTTGCAGCTAAGGCCGAGGTGATCTGGGGATGCTTTACTCGTGCATTTTGCACAAATTGCGTTTGCTATGTTGGGTGAAGTTTATTAACCGTCAACTACATTCGTGATTTTCTGAGTCTGTTAGCCATCTTCCTGCACTCCCATGCAGGCCCTGGCATGGCATGGTAGCGTGATTACACTTCCTCCCCGCATCACCCCGTCCGCATCATCCACCGTTGTTGCACCCCACCGTTGTTACAGAGGCTTCCCGTCCTAAATTATTTCTCTGGTCCCGTTCTCTGGGTATGATACTCTGGTTATCATAACCCCAATTCTTTCTCTGGTTCCGTCTCCTACAATTCTCCCCCTTTCCACTCTCCTTCCTTCGCATCCAGGCCCTATCAACTGTGAGGAAAGCGGAGGCATCGCGGGCGCACTTTTCCCAGCACCACCTCATACGCATCATCCACCGCGACAGACCCTTTCCTCTCTCATCAATCACAAGTCTTTCTCCAATCTCCCCAATCCCCCCAACCAGGCCCTGTCAACTGTGAGGCAAGCAGAGGCAGCACGGGCACACTTCTCCCAGCACCACCTCATCCGCATCATCCACCGCAACAGAGCCTCCCTGCACCCCTCGTTGCTTACCGCCCGCCACTCCGTCTCCCGCCACCTCTGCTCCGCCCCTGACTGCAGCAGCAGCAGCAGCAGCAGCAGCATCGTCGGTCCTCTCATTGACAGCAGCAGCATCAGCCCTGCTAGTGGCGCCAACTTGTGCTCTGCAAGCGGCAGCAGCAGCAGCAGCATTGCTCCTGCTAATGGCGCCCTCACTGTCCCGCGTGCACTCCTTCTGGATGGGCTGTTTTTGAATCCCTGCTCCCAGTGCGGTCCGCCCATTGCCTTCTCTGCCCACTCCTGGGACCGCCTCGGCCGCTCCCCTGTTGGACCCTGGGTCGCCGGCCTCCTTGCCCTCATGGACCTCGCTCCGCTCCTTGCTGCTGCATCTGGTGGCGCTGCCACTGGTGGTGGGAAGAGGAATGGTGCTGCCGCTGGTGCTGGTGCTGGTGCTGGTGCTGGTGATGTGCCCACATGGTGTGAATCAGAGAAGCTGCTGCAATCGTGCTGGGGTGCTTCTGCCTCTGCTGCTGCTGCTGCTGCTGCTGCTGCTGCCACCTCTCCTTCCTCGGTTCCTTCTCAGACCCCTTGCATACTCCCTCACACCCTCCTATCCCCGCTGACCGAAGCCTCTTCCATGCTAAGCAGGACACGGATGCGGATTGCGTCCGCTGTTGATGCTTCCCTGCGGACAGCCCTTCAGCTGGAGCTGCTGCAGGGGGAAAGGGAGAGCAAGGGGAGGGTGGGAGGGGAGGGGAAGGGACAGGGAGACTGTGGGAGCAGCAGCTGCAGTGGTGGGCAGAGCAAGGGGCGGAAGCGGAAGAAGAAGAAAGGGAAGGGGAAGGATGGCGGGACAGGGGATGCTGCCGCTGCTGCTAAGGATGAGGCTGCTGAAGAGGAGAGTGTAGATGGCATGGGTTGCAGAGAAGAGGGTGGAGTGGAGGGTGGAGTGGAGGGTGGAGTGGAGGGTGGAATGGAGGGTGGAGAGGCAGTTGCATGCACTGGCAATTTGCTTACAGTGGTGCAACAGCAGGGTAGCGAAGCTGTGAGTGCGCTTCCTGCCTCTGATGTTCTGCCTGGGTCACTGGAAGGTGGTGGTGGTGGTGGTGGTGGTGGTGGTGGTGGTGGTGGTGTCGGCGGTAGTGTTTTTGATGGTGGTGATGGTGGTGAGTGGCGTCTGGTGTGCAAGAAAGGAGCAGCAGGGGGTGGCGGCAGCAGCAGCGCCAGTGGTGGTGGCGCGGGTGGTGGTGGTGGTGCTGGGAATTGTATTCAAAAGCAACAGCAAAGGCAAGGGAAACGGATAGGAGGAGCCAGAGGTGGAAAGGAGGTTCGGAGGGAGTTGAGTTCTGCGTCTTCTGCTGTGCAAGCTTCTGGTAGCAAGCCTGCAGCTGTTGAAGGCTCAGCAGTTGCTCTAGCCTCGACACCTGCAATGCCTGCAGGTGCAGCAGCACAAGGGGTAACGTCAGGGGCAGCAGCAGGGGCAGCGGCAGGAGGCGGAAGCAGCAGAGGCACTTGTGTTATTGCAGAGGTGACTCGTGCATGTGCTTCACCTCCTGCTGCTGCTGCCCCGCACCCTTCAACTTGTGATGCTGGCGCAGTGCCTTCCCTGCATGCATCAACATCAGCAACAGCAGCGCCAGCAAGAGCAAGAGCAGGTGCAGGAGCAGCAGCAGCAGCAGCAGCAGCAGCAGCAGCAGCAGCAGCAGCAGCAGCAGCAGCAGCAGCAGCAGCAGCAGCAGCCGCGTCAGAGAGGTCAGCTCCATCAGCTGCATCACATGGAAGCGGCGCTGCTAGCAGCAGCAGGCTGGCCCGTCCCTCTCATAACTCTTCCTCCCCTACCAGTCTAGTCCTCTCGCTCTCAGCATTCCCCCCTCTCCCCCTGCTGCAACTCCCAAAGACCAGCCAGGCCACGCCCACAGACCCCTCCCAGGCCCTCCCCTTCCTCTCGCCTCTCATGCGCCGCTCCCGGAGAGAAGCAGCGCAAAACATCCCCCCCCTCTCCTCCTCTCCACCTCCCACATCTTCCTCCTCCAGTCCCACGTCTACCTCCCCTGAATCCCCCTCCCCTGCACCTCCCTCCCCTCAGTCACTCCACTCAGGCTCTATCACCCCTGCCAGCATGGGGATAGAGCCTCCTTGCATGCACTCACAGTTAGTGCCTTCACCAGGTGCCCCTCCTGCTGGGACAAACGGGCCTGCAATTGGCCCCAGCAGCGATTCAAATGCTGGCAGGCAGGCACAGTTCGTGCCTTCACCAGATGCCCCTCCGTTCTTCCCAGCAGAGTCACCAGATTCGGTCTCAGTGCAACCACAACCCCATCCGCCACAGCAGGAGCAGCCCCGCCAGGAGCCTCCCTCTCAGCATCAGTTTCCCCCCATGCGACTCCCCTTCTCCCCCCAACACGCCACCCGCCTCTCCCCACACCACGAGTGGCCCGGCTTTCATCCCCCTTGGCCTCGCTCTCTGTCTGCTGCTCCCTTACAACAACCCCCTCCTTTCATCTCACCCAACCCCTATCACCAGCATCCGCATGCACACCCACAGCACCAGCTGCAGCAGTTTCAGCAGCAGTACCAGTTGCTGTTACACCAGCATCAGCAGCAGCAGTCGATGTTGAATTCACTGCATCTGGAGGGGTCAGGGCGGTGGCCCTGGTTGTGGCACCGCCCCTCTGCTCTTCTCCTTACCCAGCTCCCCCCCCGGCCCCCCAGCCTGCCCTCTTCCCCTGCTGCCTCTCGCCCCGCCTCGTCCCTGCCCTCGTCCTCCCTCTCCGCTGCTGGCCCTGCTTCTGCCGTTGCCTCTGCCTCTGCCTCTGCCTCTGCCTCGGCCTCTGCCTCTGCCTCTGCCTCTGCCTCTGCCTCTGCTTTTGCGTCTGCCTCTGCTTCTGCTTCTGCCTCTGCCCCTGTCTCTGCTTCTCCTGCTAATCCTGCCAGTGCTCCTCTTGTTGTTGATCCGATGGCTACTCCTGATGCTGTTTCTTCCACTGCTGCTGCTGCTGCTGCTCCTGCTGTTCCTCCTACGTCTGCTGCCTCTGCGACTTCCTCCCCTTCCCTCCATCCGGACTCATCATCTGCATATGCTTCCAGCACATCATCACCACCACCACCACCGCCACCCCCGCCACCACCACCACCACCACCCGCACAACCCACTCTACCTGTCCTCCCCACCCATCGAAACCCAGACAGCAAAGCAGGCTTACTAGGCCCTTGCCCCCCTCACTTGCACCCCCTTGATCTACACTTCCCTCACTTCCACCCCTCTCACTTCCATCCCCTCCCACCTGACCTGCATCCCCTGCACCCCGTGCTCCCCTCCTCTATCTCCACCTGGGCTGCAGAGCCTGCCTGGTCGCGCCCCTATTACTACGACTGCCTCTCAAACACTGCCTTTGAGGCAGCCCCAGCTCCAGCTCCTATACCACCACACGGCCCACACCCACCATACTCCTCCTATGAATGCGGCTCAGACACTGTCTCGGTCGATGAGCCGTTTCAGGCGTTTCACGCGCGCTACCCTGGTGTGTTGGGCCCGCCTAGGGAGCTCCTCCACGTGCCAGAGCCCCCTCTCTCCTACCCCGCTCCCTCTCACGCCGCACTCCCCCACCATGTCTCTGCTTTTGAGTCGACTCAAAAGCAGACTCACACCGCACTCTCCCACCACCATGTCTCTGGCTGGCACTCAGGCCATCTCGCCCACAACCCTCACCCCGCCCATCATCCCCATCTGCCTTATTTTCCCAACCTTCCCCACCTGCCTCACCTACCCCAGACTGCCAGTTGCGCCTCGTCAAGCCCTACCCAGGACCAGCCACACGTGCACCATCCCTCCCAGTCCTCTGCTGGTGCCCCCCTCGCCGTCGCCTCCCGTGTTCCCCCTCACAGCCTGCCTGAGCCAGTGGTTGTGGCGCCGCCTGTGGTCCCTGAGGCCGTTCCCAGGGATGGGGAGGAGCGGGAGGATGGGAGCTTGTTGGGAAGGGAGGAGGATGCGGATCTTGCAGTGGGGATTGTCGAGGGAAGGGGGGTGGGGCTGGCATCGGGTGGACAAGCAGGGCCAGCAGGGATGGGAACGGAGACAAGAGGGGCGAATGGCACAGGTAGGGGAGGAGTGGAGGGAGAGGGAGCAGCTGATGTTGGCGAGAGGGAGAGGGGGGAAGCTGGTGGTGGTACTGCTGCTGCTGCTGCTGCTGCTGCTCCGGGCCACCACCATCCGCAGTTGCGCATCACTGTGCCTACAAGGCGGCGAGCAGGGAACGAAACCAGCCGCCCTGATGCCACTGGCAGAGACAGGATTACCGCTGCTGCTGGTGGTGTTGGCACTGCTGGTGGTACTGCGGAAACCACTGCTACAGCTGCTGCTGATATGAATGCTACAGCCTCCACAGGTGCTGCTGTTGCGCTGAGTGCTGGTGAGCATGGTCGGCAGGGCGACGGGGAGTTTGAATTCCAGGGCCAGGCTCCTCCTGCTGACAACGCTTCTGCTAATAACGAGGATAACTCCTCCGAAACGGCAGTGCAAGCCCCTAGCACGCCCTTATCAACACCCTCCAGACGCACCTCCTGCTGGGCTAGAAGCAGCAGGGCCAGCCAGGATGGGACGGAGGGCAACGATGGGGATGGGGATGGGAAGGGGGCAGCAGGCGAGGGCACTGAGGAAGGGGAGTCAGAGGACTGGTCTTTGGAGAATTTCACAGATGATTCGTTATTAGCAGGGGAGAATTACCAGATGTTGGAGGAAGATTTTGCCGAGTTTGTGGGCGGTGCGGGCGACAGGGGGTACTTCTCTGAGGACGAGAGCGTTCCGCTGGTAGCCCAGCGAAGAGGGGTGTTTTACCCTCGAAATTACCGGTCGGGGAGGGGCATGTACGGAAAAGAGGCCATGCATGGAGCCATGGGGCCAGCGGGAATGGGGTGGGGCGGGGGGGCTGGAATAGGGGCGATACAAGGCCCGTCGGGACACAGAATCCCAGGGATGGGGGCAGGTATGCTTGGGGGAGGAGCACCTGAGGGAGGTATTCTTGGGGGTAGAGGTCCTGGTGGCAGCAGCTGCGGGGCTGAAGGTACACGTGAAGAGACGCGATTCTCTTATGATGATAACGATGTGGACTATAGGAATGTGTTTGGCGGAGGGGTGTTCTACTGGAACATGGCGGATTACCGCGGGGCCAGTGCGAGCGGCGGCGCGTCCCGCACTGGGTCGTCTCTAGGGTCGGAGGACAGCTCGTGGTTGAGACGAGAGGCGGATGTGCGGTTGATTGTGGATGATATAGTTCTAGGGTTCCCGATATCAGGGTCGATTTCGGGTTCGATTTCGGGGTCGTATCCGCCAGGTATGGGGCTGTCTACTGCTGCGTCGACTGATCGGTCGAGTATTCCGTCGCCCAGCTCCACTGCCTCTGGCCCGTTTGATATGCGCCACGCTTCTCTCTCCGCTGCTGCCGGTGCTGGGATTTTGGCTGGTGGTGGTGGTGCTGCTGCTGCAGCGGCGGCAGTCTCAGGAGTCGTTTCTCCGCGTTTTGAGCTGGGTGGTGGTGGTGTGGGGGGGGCAGGGAGAGGGGCAGGAGGAGGGAGTCGGCTTGTGTCGTCAGGAAGTGGAGGACTCGTGTTGTGTGGAGCTGGCCCCGTTTCCACTGGCACTGCTACTGGCGCTGGTAACATCGCAGGCAACTCTGGCAGTGGCAGTGGCGGTGGTGGTGGTGGCAGCAGCGGCAACGCGGGTGTGTTGAGTGGGCGTGGAGGGGCGCAGCAGCAAGGGCGGCCTCGGGGAATGGGGTTGGCTCGGTCTGAGAGTGATCCGGTACGTGTTCAGGGGCAGAGGGGCAACGGAGCTGGTGCTGCAGTTGTCGTTCGGGTCACTGATTCCCCTGCGCCACTGGCGGCAGCTGCAGCAGCCGCACCAGTGGCAGCGCCAGCAGCGCCCTCGGCAGCAGCAGCACCAGTGACAGCCGCCGCAGCACCAGCGGCAGCAGCAGGACCTGCAGTGGCAGCAGCAGTCGCAGCAGCAACACCAGCAGCTACGATTCCACAAGCAGCAGCCAAAGGCTCTGAATGTCCTGAAATCTCTGATCAGAAGGGTGAGAGTCCAGTCATGGATCGTGGTGAGAGGGAGGGTGGTGGGCGTGCAAAGGACGCAGGCAGTGCAGGCAGTGCTGGCAGTGAGTGCGTCACTGCGCAAGGGGAAGCGCAGAAGAGCAGCATTGCGCATCCTACTGGAGCAGCCGGGGCGGGTGCTACTGGTGAAGCCGCTTCTGACACTATCAGAAGCACCACCAACAACAACACCAAGCCTTTCGCCGCACCTACTCCATCGCCTATTGCCGAGCCCACGGCCAGTGCTGATCCAGCTGCTTCGCGTATGGAAGGGCAGGCAGGTGGTAGTGATACAGGGCAAGGGGGGGCAGAAGTTGCAGCGATTTCAGCTGCAGCTGAGGCCAGGGGAGAAGCAGGGCGTGGGAGTGCGGAGCAGGTGGAGCAGGAGGAGCAGATTCCTGGTGTGCCTGGTGGGGCAGGGGCGAGACCTGGGAGCTCTGGAGGGGAGGCAGGTGTGGTGGAGGGAGGAGGATTGAGAAGCAGCAGCAGCACGTGCGTACGGGGAGATGGCGATGGGGATGGGGATGGGAATGGCGATAGGGATGAGATCGTGGACATTCCAGATACGGATGGGCAGCAACAGCAACAACAACAGCAGGTGCGCCCTCCCCAACCTATGCAGCTTCTACAGCCGGTACTTGGGTCTCCGTCTGGTGGGGGTTTTCCTGCTAGCAGCAGTGGCGGCAGCAGCAGCACCAGCAGCAGCTGCAGCAGCACTCCCATAAGCCTTCGGCGCACTGGCGGCAGCGGCGGTGGGAAGATGTTTCATCGCACCCCTCCCCTCTCCCGCTCCTCTTCTGTCAAAGCAGCAGAGGAAACTGCAGCTGCAGCCGCAGCTGCTTTGGCTGCAGCAGCTGCATCCGCTGCCAAAGTCCCCCAAAGTCCCCGTCAGTCCCAGCAACCACAACAGCAGCAGCAGCAGCAGCAGCAGCAGCAGCAGGAGGGTCAGATGCTGCATATCCACAATCATCCCATCCAGCAACAAAGTTGCGAGTTCAATACTCCCCAAGCCATCACATCACCACCAGGCACAGCCATACCCCCAGGCCCAGCCATCCCACTAGCCACATCCATTTCCTCAGGCACAGCCATTCCCACAAGCCCAACAATGCCCCCAAGCCCAGCTATACCCCCCAGCCCACGCCTAGCATCACCACCCTCCGCCCCAGGCATGCCTCCTCCTGCTGTTGCTGCACCTGTCACCATCACCGCAGCAGGAGGTTTCACCCTACCAGGACCGATCCGAGTTCCCACACCCAGCAGCCGCAGCAGCATGAGCATCAGCATCAGCAGCGGCAGTGGAGGCGGCATCAGCAGCGGCAGCAGTGGCGGAAGCAGCAGCGGAACCAACAACAAGCCGTCCTCCCATGCAGCAGCCATGGCGGGGCGAATGCGCTCCTGGAAACGCCCCAGCTCGCCCGTCCTCAGATACCAACCGCCCCAGGAAGCACCTCCCCCGCCTCCACCCTCCCCTGTGGCGGGCGCGGGCAGATCCCGGGGGTATTTCCGGGTGCGATCCGGGAGCTCTAGTCCTAGGCACTGGGGTTTGCTTCCTGGTAGTGCTCCGGGTGGCGTTGGCTTTGCTGCTGCTGCTGCGGCAGTGGCGGCAGCGAGAGAGGCAGTGATGGTGAGAGAGAATGCTGCTGCTGCCACTGCTGCTGCTGGTGCTGCTTCTGCTGCGGCTGCGGCTGCGGCAGCAGCAGCGGTAGCGGCAGGGATGGGGGGGGCGGTGGGGTTGCCTGTGGGTGGGCTTGGTGTGGGGCAGGGTGGGGGTGGCAGGGCGTTGTGGGGGTTACCCTCTCCTGCCGCCGCTGCCGCTGCTGCCGCCGCCGCTGCTGCAGCAGCTGCAGCAATGGGTGCCGGGCAAGGGGCGAGTGAAGGTGGAGGAGGTGGTGGTGGTGGTGGTGGAGAGGGACTGATGGGAGGCGTGAGGGCGATGGGGATGGGAGGGAGGGCGGTTCCTGAAGGAGTGAGAGCTCTGGTGCCACCTCTCGCTCTTGATCCTGTCAAGGTGAGCTGAAAGGACACGGTGAATGTTGTTTGGTAGTTGATACATTGTGGTGAAGTGGATTCACTCAACACACGCCTCTGTCCTCCACTCCTCCGCATTCCTCCCTCCCCTTGCCCAATCCAATCCAACCCCGGTGATTGAAGCAGTGTTTTGAGACGTCTCAAAACACTTCTTCAATCTCGAAGTGGATTCACTCAACACACGCCTCTGTCCTCCACTCCTCCGCATTCCTCCCTCCCCTTGCCCAATCCAATCCAACCCCGGTGATTGAAGAAGTGTTTTGAGACGTCTCAAAACACTTCTTCAATCTCGAAGTGGATTCACTCAACACACGCCTCTGCCCTGCACTCCGCCGCATTCCTCCCTCCCCTTGCCCAATCCAACCCCGGTGGATCGCAGCTGCCGGGACGACCCCTCCTCACAACCGGCATTAGCACCGGCATCATCCCGGTGGATTGCTGCTGTCGAGGAGACCCCTCCTCCCAGCCCGCACTAGCAGCGCTGCGCAGCGCGCTGCTCGAACACCATCTCCCATTTGTCCCTGATGCTGCAGGGTGTATCAGGGTGTCCCTGATACTGAGCTGGTTTTTTAGAATTCTCAAAAACCAGAATTCTCAGAAACTAGAATTCTCAAAAACCAGAATTCTCAGAAACTAGAATTCTCAAAAACCAGAATTCTCAAAAACCAGAATTCTCAAAAACCAGAATTCTCAAAAACCAGCTCGCTGCGCAGCGCGCTGCACGAACACCATCTCCCATTTGTCCCTGTGCCCTCCCACTTGGCCCCCCTCCCTTCATTCCCCTTTCCCCCTACAGCTGCCCACCATTATCCCAGTGGATCGCTGCTGTCACGGGGATCCCTCCTCCCAGCCAGCGCTAGCAGCGCTGCACAGTGCGCTGCACGAGGAGATCGAGGCGTTCTGCCTGCAGGTGATGGCGGAGATGCGCACAGTGCGTTGCACGACCACTCAAACTCCTCCTCCCACTCACCCCTGTCTCCTCGTTTCCCCCTCCCCAGCTGCCCACAGTCATCCCGGTGGATCGCTGCTGTCGGGGCGACCCCTCATCGCAGCCAGCCCTAGCAGCGCTGCACAGTGCGCTGCACGAGGAGATAGAGGCGTTCTGTCTGCAGGTGATGGGGGAGATGCGCGCCCGCAAGCCCTACCAGCTCGCCGCCATCACCAAAGTCTCGCGCACGCTGCAGGTGAGTGCGTGGGTAGCACGCTGCAGGTCAGTCAACGGGTGGGTAGGTTGGATTGGAGGTAAGGGAGTGGCGGATGAGTCAGGCAGGTGATGGGGGGGATTCCCGTCCGCAAGCCCTACCAGCTCGCCGCCATCACCAAAGTCTCGCGCGCGCTGCAGGTCGGTCGGTAGGCGGGTGTGTGGATGGCATGCTGCTGGTAAGTCAGTGCAGAGCCAAGTTTGTGAGCGGGTGAGTGCAGTGCAGGCGTGGGGATGGCAGCATGGCATCGGCAAGGTCTCGTATGTGTGCGCAGCAGGTGGGGCGCTCAATCCCTGCTTTTGATTTGAGTCGACTCAAAAGCAGGTGGGGCGCTCAATTCATGCAGGCAAGGTGCGTGGGTGGCTGAAGAGTCACTTTCCGAGTCACCTGGGCGTATCGAGGCATGCTGCCACCGAGGTAAGTTCCGAGGCGATTATAAGTGTCGGCATTTTCCTTGCCACTTGCAAACCCTAAACCCTTGCCCTTGTGAAGGTAAAATCACAGGGACCTTGTCCTTTTGCACTGACTGTTTCCTATTGTTGTTGTAAGACGGTCCAATAATCATCAAGGCTCCCATGTCCACATCCCGGCCATTCAGGTGCTGTGACCGTGCTCCCGGGTGTCCACCTTCTGCTTAAACCCAGCGCCTGTGCCCATACTCATGCTCATTCCCCCTATTGTGCTACCACCTGGCCCCTGGGGTTGCTTGTCCCTTTCAGGTGCTGTGGCCGCGTTCCCGCGTCTCCATCTTTGGCTCAAATGCCACGGGCCTGGCTCTGCCATCGAGTGACGTTGACATTCTCGTGCACCTGCCGCCCGTCCGCAACCTGGTGAGATACTCCCATGCCACCGTCTCTCCCTTTCTTGTGCTGTATGCTGTGGACCCTGGTGTCGCCCTGGCATGCTCGCTCGCTCTGCCCTCAAGTGACGTTGAGATTCTCGTGCACCTGCCGCCCGTTTGCAACCTGGTGAGATGCCCCCGCCATCTCTCTCTCTCCCTCTCCCTTGCTCTGTGCTTTGGTATCGCCCTTACCTCACTTGCTCGCTCTCGCTTGCATAAAGGAGGCGGGCACATTGGAGGGGCGCATAATTTTTTAACAAGGCACGCTCAGGTCTTACCAGTGTTTCTTCCCAGTGTGCTTACTTCCTCTTTACCCTCATCCCTCCTCATTCTCCATCCCCCCTCATCGCGTCTTTGCGTCACCAGGAGCCGATAAAGGAGGCGGGCATCTTGGAGGGGCGCAACGGCATCAAGGAGACGTGTCTGCAGCACGCTGCGCGCCACCTGGCGGACCAGGATTGGGTGAAGAGCGATTCAATCAAGACCATTGAGAATGCCATGGTGCCCATCATCATGCTCGTTGCTCGCCTCCCTGCCCACACGTCCCGCCTCTCTGCTGACGTGGCACCCGCTGTCCTTGCTGACGTGGCCCCTGCTGCCGCTGCTGATGTGGCTCCGGCTATCCTTGCCGACATTAGCCCTGCTGAGGTGGCCTCTGCTGATGTGGCGAGTGCAGACGCAGGAGGTGAGCCGTTGGTTTGGAATCACGTGTCAGGGCAGACGAGATAAGCGGCAGTGCTGCTGGCACTCGTTGAGCGACCCCTGCGTCTGCCTCTGCTTCTGATTCTTTTTCGCTGCTTTTGCTCCTGACGCTGTTGCTACAGGTGGAGGTGGCACAAATCTCACAGCGGTCACGACTTTTGAGTTGGCTCAAATGTTTGACTCAACTCAAAAACCGGGGGTGTCACCGGTCACTGCTGCTAGCAGCAGCAGCTCAAGCCGGGTCTCTGCTACTGAAGATTCAATACTGGGGGAGGTGGAGGGCGGAGGGAATGGGGAGGTGGTAGGGGAGGTGACGACACAAAAAGGGCAGCAGACAGAGGAGGGAGTGGGGAACGCAGGTGGGGTTTCGGAGAAGCCAGAGGTTGTTCTTGAGAAGGTGGAGGAAGGGTTGGAGAAAGCAGGTGGAGGAGGGAAGGGGGCAGCAGGTGGGAATGTGCAGGTGCTGTTTGAGACGTCTCAAAAGACAGCAGCAGTAGCAGCAGCAGCAGCAGCAGCAGCAGCAGCAGCAGCAGCAGCAGCAGCAGCAGCAGCAGCAGCAGCAGCAGCAGCAGCAGCAGCAGCAGCAGCGGGGGAGGTGCAGGTGCAGGTGGTGAGGGGTGGGGCGAGGGGCCCGTGGGGGAATGTGGACGACAGGCGCAACGTGCGTTTGGACATCAGCTTCGAAGGCGGCTCACACTCGGGCCTGCGCACTGCTGAACTGGTGGGTTGCGCCTGGTGAGCCCTTCTGGTTCTGCGTGCCAGGCTGCTGGGGCACTTTGGAGTCAACGTGGGTCCTGGCGAGTTCTGAAGATCTCTCTGCGAGACTGCGCCCAGAGCTTGTTGACCTGGCGAGTTGTTGGGATGTAACTGCCAGAACCTTTTGTGAACTGGGGAGGCGCACGCGAGTCTGCCACGATGTGACTGTTGAGTTGGAATATATATATATATATATATATATATATATATATACACATACATACATATATTCACCACGGCATGCTTCAGCCAGCACCAGTCAGCTAAATGTTTCTTGCTTCCATGTCTCCCTGCGTCCACCTCTCCCAACAACTGCTTGCCCATGCCCCCTGCAGGTGCGAGAGCTGACGGCGCACCGCTGGCCCTGGTGCTCAAGCAGTTCCTCACAAACCATTAACTCCCTGGCTGTTACTCACCCCCTGATTCCTCCCCTCCCTTATGCCTTATCAGGTGCGAGAGCTCACAGCACAGTTCCCAGCCATCCCACCGCTCGCTCTGGTGCTCAAGCAGTTCCTCACAGACCGCAGCCTCGACCATCCCTACACTGGCGGCCTCTCCTCCTACTGCCTCGTGAGTTGCTGCACTCCCCCTTTCTCTCATAGTTTCCCTTGCCTTCTCCTCACCGCATCCTCACAGTCCGTAGCCTCGACCATCCTTACATTGGCGGCCTCTCCTCCTACTGCCTTGTGAGTCGTCACAACCCCCCTGCACATCACCCGCCTGCCTCTACCCTTTCTTTGCTGTGTAGCACCACTCTCACCTCCAATCCTCCCCCAAAACCCCACCCCCAACCCCTACCTTCCCCTTCTCCCCCCCTCTCCTCTCCTCCCCCCCCCCCCCACCACTCACCAGTTATTGCTGATAACGCGTTTCCTGCAGATACAGCCGCACATCGGCCGCCCGCCGCAGTGGCAGAACCTGGGCAGCCTGCTGCTCGACTTTCTGCACTTCTATGGGTGCGTGCACGCGTGCATGGGTGCATGCATGGGTGCATAGGTGTATGACTTGTATGCGCGTGTGCGTGCAATGGCTGGCGTCACAACCCGCCACTGTCACTGCCTGTCGACCTACTCGCGCCAGTGGCAGAACCTGGGCAGCCTGCTGCTCGACTTCCTGCACTTCTATGGGTGCGTGTGACTTTAACCCGCACCTCCTCACTGCCTTTTGGCATGCTGTGTGCTTGACTTGTGAGGGGCCTCACAAGTGCTCTTCCTCCTCTTCCCCCACGTTGGTGTGCTTGACTTGTGAGGTTCCTCACCAGTAATCTCCCTCCTCTCTTTTCTTCCTCCCCCTTCACAGCTGTGTGTTTGACCCGCGGCGAATGGCTGCCAGCATCAGGCAGCTTTCCTCTCAACCCCTGCAAACCCACCCCCTACCCCACCCCACCCCGTCCCACCCCACCCCACCCAACAGCTGTGTGTTTGACCCACGGCGCATGGCGGCCAGCATCAGGCTCGGAGGGGCCTTTCTCGAGCGAGACCGCTCCCAGAGGTGAGACGGATTTGCCCGGTAGCTTCCTCTAAGAAAGCTTCTTGGAGATTGGGTTATGTGGTGCCGTTGAGATGTTCCAGCACCGTTGCTTGACTACTGAATCTCAGGGCTGGTGTCGGTATCTGTGAATGTCTTCTGTTCGTCCATGCATCTGCATCTATCGTTCGTCCGCTTCACCCTTGAGTGCGCTTCGTTGTGTTGAAGTGTCCTTGCGTTTTGTGTGTGCGCGCGCATGTGTGTGTCTGTGCATGTTTACATATGCATGTGTGAATGTCTGCATGTGTTTATGTGCACATGTGTGCACGTTTGCAACTGTGCATGTGTGCATGTGTGCATTCATGTGTGCATGTGTGCATTCATGTGTGCATGTGTGTGTGTGCATGCATGAATGAGCATGGCAGCATCGACCCATTGCACATTGAGGACCCCTTGGATCCCACCAACAATGTCGGCCGCAACTGCTTTCGCATCCTGCAATGCACCAAGGTGTGCACTACATGCATGGAGCCAACACATTATGAATCCAATGAACCATGTTTCTGTCCCGCCTCTCACTCATCTCTCCCGCCCCTCACTCATCTCTCCCGCCCCTCACTCATCTCTCCCGCCCCTCACTCATCTCTCCCGCCCCTCACTCATCTCTCCCGCCCCTCACTCATCTCTCCCGCCCCTCACTCATCTCTCCCGCCCCTCACTCATCTCTCCCGCCCCTCACTCATCTCTCCCGCCCCTCACTCATCTCTCCCGCCCCTCACTCATCTCTCCCGCTGCTGACTCATCTCTCCTGCCGCTGACTCATCTCTCCCGTCGCTGACTCATCTCTCCCGCCGCTGACTCATCTCTCCCGCCGCTGACTCATCTCTCCCGCCCCTCACGACTGGTATACAACTCTTTCTCTTCGCCGATGCGTACGACATGCTGGAGAGGCAGCTGCCAGACAGACATGACCTCTGCCATACAACTCACCACTGCCTCCTCCACCTCCCCCAACCCCGTCAGGCTTTCGCTGATGCGTACAACATGCTGGAGAGGCAGCTGCCAGACAGACATGACCTCTGACATCTCCCCTCCTCTCCCCACCTTCCGCACACATTCTTTCTCGTCTGGGCAGCTGCCAGACAGACATGACCTCTGACATCTCCCCTCCTCTCCCCACCTTCCGCACACATTCTTTCTCGTCTGGGCAGCTGCCAGACAGACATGACCTCGGACGTCTTCTCACCCCAACTTGTGCACGTATTCATTCTCTTGTAGATACCGTGCTCCCTTTCCTTGCTCCCTGTTCTCACCCCATCAGGCTTTCGCCGATGCATATGACATGTTGGAGAGGCAGCTGCCAGACATGACCTCCGCCATTGCGCATGGCAGCCCGCCATGTGGCACGCAGCTATTGGCCAAGATCCTGCCTAGCATCGCCCCGCATGTGACCAAGTAACCGGCCAAGTGACTGACCAGACCGAATGGAACACCACATTACTTGCAATGGAAGACCAAGGTCCCTGCATCAGTCTGCGTCAGTCTGCATCATTCCGCCTGCCTGGCATCATCACCAGTCTCCTGCGACAGACAGAAGCAGCATGCTCATTCCATGTGAGCCCCACCTCCTCTCTTCTGCAGCTTCCCCCGGTTTGGTTCTGTGTGTTCTATCCATACTCTCCATCTTTTCTTCCACCCCACAATTTAAGCCCACATGCAGTTACCTTACACGTCATATACCGTACCTATGTCAATTCCGGCAGAGGTTGGCCATCTATATTTCAAGTGGGTGGCGTGGCATTTCGACAGCAGCCATACCATCCTCCACTGCACTGCACTATCCATGTCTTTTGAGTTCATTTATCGTTGGGCCTTGCAGGATGCGGCTGTCAGGCTTTGCAACCTCCCAAACAGTTTCGGTCCTTGCAAAATATTCAAGCTCCAAGCGGAGTGAAAAATACAGGGTACCGGTACATGGCAAAAACACGCCTCCCTATCTGGGAGGGTAGAGGAACCATTCAAATGGACCCAACCAGAGCAGTCTAACCAGGGCAGTCGCAGCAAGCAACAACACAAGCTACCAAATGGACAGGGAGCTCTAAAAAAGCTGCAACGAAATTTACGGTAACAATGGTGGTGAATATGGTAGTTACGGTGAATGGGAATGGTAGGAGGCATGTAGGAGCCTCAAGTTGGAGCTGCTGCTGCGGTTGGGAGTGGTGCAGCTGGATTTGAGGCGGAAGGGAAATGAATGACAGTGTGGTTACTTGGAAGAGGAGAAGGATTTGAGGAGCGTCCTCCGTGTGTAGCTGGAGCTGCCGCTGCTGCTGTTGGGAGTGGTGCAGCTGGTTCTCGTGTTGCTGCTCCTGCTGATGCTGAGTGCAACGCTGCTGCTGCTGATGCTGCTGATGCTTGTCATTCCGCTTGAGCCGCTGTCAGCACGAGCCGTCTTGTTGAATGACGCCTTCTCTCCCTTCTCGTATGCTCCATCGCAGCCCCCGACGTGCTCAGCGTATGTGTATGCCTCCGAGTCGTAGCATTCTTCATCCGATGCTGCTTCCGTTGCCATTTCTGGCCTCCTCTGAGAGGCTGTTGCTGCTAGCGTGTCCTCTCGGGTTAGGGTTACCAGAGCAGCAGCCTCGGAGCACTTCAAATGGCGAACCAGCCACGGGTGGTCCAGAATGCCGCCGATGTCAATTCGCTCCTGAGGATCAACGGTCATCATGCGGCAGATCAGATCCTTAGCCGCCCACGACACCTCGCGCTTCCCCCCATCCGCGCGCGCATCCTTCCGCCAGGGGAAGTACCCGAAGTCCTCCGCGGGGACGAGCTTCCGCTCGCCCGCGCGGAACGCGGGCCAGGAGGCGGAGAGCAGCGCGTACAGCAGCACGCCGAGGGACCACACGTCCGCCTCGCACCCGTACGGGGCGCGCGCGAGCACCTCGGGCGCCTCGTACGGCGCGCTCCCCGCGAGCCCCACGATGCACTTATCGCGCGGAAGCTGGTACGCGAGACCGAAGTCCCCGAGCCGCACGTCGTACTCCGCCTTCCCCGCTGCGCAGGCGGCGGCGGCGGCGGCGTCCGCGGTGTCGGGGAGCACTGTTTGGCGGCGCGAAATGAGGATGTTTTCTGGCTTGATGTCGCGGTGGACGACGCGGTGGTCGTGGCACCACTGCACGGCGCGCGCCACTTGCGCGAAGATCCGCGCAACCGTGCGCTCATCAAGCCCGCGCGGATGGTCCACGAGCAGCCCGAAGAGATCTCCGCTGTCGCAGAGCTCCGTGAGAATGTAGACAGCTTTCGCGTCCTCGTACAGACTGTCGAGTCGCAGCATGTTAGGGTGACCCTGCAGGATGATTAAGAGGGTGATTTCGCGCTGGAGGTCCGCTTCCGCCGCGGGGGAAAGCCCGCGCTTGTTCACCTGCTTGCACGCGAAGGCCTCCCCCGTCGCGCGGTCCACGCAGCGCCACACGCGGCCCGACTGGCCCTCGCCGAGCAGGTCGCTGAAGACGCAGCGACGCGCGAGCTCCGAGGAATGCTGCGGAGTGAACCGGTCCATTGGGGGCCGTGTCTGGATTAGGAATAGGCTGGGCTTTCAAAGCAGTCAGTGCTCTAGCACTGAGTGGCTAGGGAGTGACGACGAGGAATCTAGCACTTCCAGTGGTGTGGCTGGTTATGGAGATTGGCTAGGTAAGGGATATTTCAGTTGGTTGGGAGAGACAAGACGGAATCAGCTTGGCTGGGATTTATGAGTGATTTGAGGCTGACGGGTTTCTGGCATCTGTGCAGCGCGTTTGTGAACCGTCGCGGGCACATGACTCACTAAACGTATCGGTATATTTCGGTTGTGACGTCTGAAGATCGGCGGGACTGGGTGCGTGCTTTGTTGTTCCCCACTTCACTCCCCCCATCCTCCCCGTTCTGGGGAACCCAACTCGATTCAGAGGATTCCGAAGAGACGGCTGCTGACGGAAAATCTCGGCACGCGTGAAAGGACCAAGCGGATTGTGAGTGGTGGATATGCCGGCTGGCATCAATTGAAGCGATGTGATTCGTGCAGCGCACTTCTTCGATCAGAGATTGTGAACCATGCGGGTCCTTGCCTTCTCGAGTCAGTCTGCTTCGGTTTGCACACCAGCGACAAAATAGGTAGCCAACCAAGCCGGCTTGCTGGCTCATCCGTGCACTTCACGCCACATCACACAAGGTGCCAAAAAACATCGCTCAAGCCTGTGGATTCGTGTGGGTGTGAAGTGAAACAGACGATGTTATTTCTCGGCGAGTTTCCCCACCAAGCCGAGCTATACACCTGTTCCCGACGAAGGATCAACTCATCGTCAGATATTACATTCCTCTATAACATCTCACAATATAGCCTAGGCCCATCAGGTGGAGTTAGACTGTTGATGCTTGTTTGAGCTTTATTCTGTCATCCTCCATCGCCAAAAACAATGTGTGAACTCTCTCTATTGTCCATCTCATGCAGACCAGTCTGCCCAGAAGCGCGGTTTGCATTAATGGCACAGCTGTCACCACCACCACTGTCTCGATTTGTACTTGAGCTGTGCATCATCTTGCGAGATACAGTGCAAAGTGACATCAACCCCAGGGCAGTCCCTCTTTTTACAGATACATTTACAAACGACGTTTACAATCCAAGTTTACATCCCCGCCTCTTACTGTACTAGACGTTCTGGTCTACTGGTGATACTTACGAAACAGGGCACCATTTCCAAATTTGGAACCGAAACAAGACCCACACCGGGAAGAGGCGGATTTAACTGGTACGGAGCGGGAACTTGACGTATGTTCAGGGCCCCCATTAGGGAGAAACTTGATATGTTTTCTTCTGCCCGCCGTTGGTCTAGACAGGACGAGGAACGAGGTCGAGGGCCGGCTCCCTGGAGATGGTGTCAGAGCTGGTACAAATGTTCTGGCTTAGAGGCCCTTCCTAAAAGAGTCCTGTTTCCTCTAAGAGTAGATTTTTCACATAAGTCCTAGGTGTATCCCCTCCGCTACAGTCCCATTTTTGGCAGGAAATCTTGCATCTTGACTGAATCATTGCACGAATCAGTTCCGCAGCCAATCAGAGGACGCGAAGCGAACCTGTCAGAACATTTGGAAAAAAAAACAATAGGAAGTTTTGATTCACCATTTACTTTTTGCAGTTCTGTTTGTCTGTTTATCTTGACCGCTCTTGTGTCGAAATCCTGTTGCACAGTTCCCCGCGAGCTCCGACAATGCCATCTCATTAATCTCGCTTACAGTGTAAAACAAAAATGTTATCTTTTATTTCGGCCTTAAAAATAATTTATTTTGTATTTTTCTGCCTGTTTGTCCTGCGACACTGATCAACGCGGCGAACCGTGCGACGAGAAGTTGAAGACAGCGTAGTCCGAATGTACGTATGTGACAGAAAAACACGAATATTAGCGAAGAAAAATCTCTCTTCATGTACTTGTTCTTATACGGGACTAGAAGTTCCTTTTTGCCTGGGGTTTGTGAGTTCCACAAAGGCCCGCAGCGCGCGTGTTTTTCATGCGGACTCTAATCGAGAACATTTGTACAACCGAGATGTAAGATTTAAAAATTTGAACTTGAGGTCTCTTGCACTTGATATCGCAGATAGTTTCATACAGGTGGGAGTGGTACAGGGTGCTCATTCATGAAATTCCCAAAATATCAGTGAGACGTCGTAAATTTTTCCATTCAGTAGGTCTCTCTGTCTATCGGAAATTATCCCTATTGGTCGCAACATAATCGGCTCTCTCCGAGGCTGACTGTACGGAGCTGTGCAGTACAAAGGGTTTTGAGTTGAGCACGCACTGTTATTGATCATATTTGCTCCCCACGCAGCTATGTTACAATCCCAAGTGGGACTTAGCAAAGGATCGCTCAGGGTTGATCGCGGAGTAGTATTGCAGCGGAAGTTTGAATCTCAGGTCAAAAGAATGTAAATGACTGAGTTGATAATAGCATACATCCATCGGGTTTATATATGAGTACAAGGGAATACGAAAGAGAGTGGTGCGGGTGAGATGTTGAAGCGTTCCCCCAGCTGCTCTGCATACTTGGAGGCTGACAGATGAATTTCTTCTGGCGCGTAAGTGATGTTTAACCCCAAAAACTGTTTTACTTCGAGGTTGATGGTGATGTCCACGCGCTGCGCCAGGTTCTCCTGAAACTGGTCGAGGAGTTTGTTGCAGGTCCCCGTATACAGCAGGTCGTCAACGTAGACTGTCAGGAGGATGTAATCGCCGCTGAAGTGGAGGCGATACATTCCCGGGTCGTGTGGGAGTTGTTTGAAGCCGGTTTCGAGGAGCATTTTGTGCAGATGCTGCTGCCAGAGTCGTGGCGCCTGTTTGATCCCGTAGAGTGACTTCTTCAGTTGACAGACCCTGGGATCGCCTTCTCCATAGGTGTGCGGCTGCTCCACAAAGATGGTGGCATCCACCAACGCGTATAGAAACGCGTTTTTCACGTCGATTTGTCGCAGTGGTAGGTGCTTCGCGGCGGCAATAGCGAGTTGAATCCGTACCGAGGTATGGCGACTGACGGGAGCGAAAGGTCTGATCGAAGTCTATGCCGTGACGCTGGTCGTACCCGCGTACGACCCATCGTGCTTTGAAGCGCTCAATAGTGCCGTCAGAGTTAGTTTTGAGACGAAAAACCCATTTCCCGCTGAGCACCCTCCTCCCCTTCACTGCTGCACGATCGACTACGACCCAAGTGTCGCGCGATTCCAGTGCTTTCAGTTCCGCATCCATCGCAGCACGCCACTCATTGGCGTGAGGGCCGGTTAGGGCCTGGAGAGGGTTCTTAGGTTCCACGGTCCGCGCGAGAGTAGAGACGGACGTGTGCAGGCCAAGAAGTTGAAGGCCTGACACATTGGTGGTGTCTGCGTTGGTGGGGACTTCAATCACGTCGTCATCTCCGCTCTCGTAGCCGGGTGGTGTGGTGCTTGAATCTGTCTGGCGCCGTGATGGTCCTGGCGCGGGGTCGTCATCGCTGTCATCGTCATCGTCGTCGCGCGGGCGAGGGGGGATGCTGGGATGTTCGTCGATGTCGTCGCGGTCCAGAACTGCTGCTGCTACTTCATCTTCAGGGGTCGCGAAGCTGCGGCCGCTGTTGGCGTAGCCGCGTGCCTGGTCACGGCGTTCGTCCTCGATCCACTGCGTCAAGGTGAGCCGTTCGAAGAAAATAATGTCGCGTGCAGGGACAATTTCCTGGTTGTCCATGTTAAGGATGAGCCACCCTTTGTGTTCGTGACTGAGTCCGAGATGAACTACCCAGCGCGCACGATGAACGAACTTGCCGATTGTGGCCGAAGTTGGCCGATACTGCACCATGCACCCCCAAACCCTCAGCATGGAGGGATCTCCCCTTGAACCGGTCCACTTCATGTGGGGTGACAGGTTATCCCTGTTGGCGGTGGTGGAGAGGAGGTTGTGCAGGCGCACCGCGTGATTCATGGCGTACGGCCAAAATTTCTTTGGCAGGCCGGACTGGTTCATGATGGCGCGAACTTTAGTCATGAGGGTCCGATTGACCCGCTCAGCAACGCCTTGTTGCTGGTGAGCATAGGGAAGGGAAATCTCATGCTTAATCCCCTTCTCGGTGAGCACGCTCTCCAGTTCATGGCTGCGAAGTTCTTTTGCCCCATCACTCTGCCAGATCTTCAGTTTCCTTCCCGATTGTCGCTGCGCGTGCGCGAGGAAGATACGGAACACCTCCGGGGCTTTGGAGCGGGCGTCAACATTGGCAACCCACACATGGCGTGAGTAGGCGTCGATGAAGGTCAGCGTGTACTTTTCGTCGTTGAGTCCGTCGCAGGTGAGTACGATGAAGACGATGTACACATTTTCCGATTTCTTGTAGCGGTTGGTGCTTGGCTCCAGAGAGGGATAGGCAGTGTGAGAGAGTGCGGCTGTGGGGCAGACAGTGCAAGTGGTTGGATGGGGGGTGGTGTGTTGTAACTCCGTCCCGTCGGGGCGCAGCAGTGTTCCTGGCGGAAAAACTTTTGCGCGGAGGCAATTGGCGAGTGTCTGGCGCGAGGGGTGTCCCATCCGCTGGTGCCAGAGGTCATCCTCGACACGGATGCCAGAGGTACGCTTGTAGAGGGTGTGGTACTCTGCTGCCTCTTCCGCTGTGAGTTCTAGGATCTGGAGTGGGGGTTCTTCCTCTTCTCCTGGTGCTGCTTCGTTGTTCTCCTCCTCTGCTTCTGCTTCTGCCGTTGCTTCCCCTTCTACAGGTAGCGTTGAGAGATACAGGGCGAGAAATTCGCGACCGGGAATGATCGTAAGCGGGGTCGTGGTGCCTTCGATGAAGCGGGCGTACGGATCTGGGCGGGAGATTGGACCGAGTGAGTCTCGCGGAGGTGTTGGCGGTACATTCCCCTCCTCAATCTCCGACCAGGGATCGCGCCAGCGATGAGGTGAGCGAGGTGGTTCGTCAGTGCGAGGGGGTCGACCGAGGGGAATGGTTACTCGAGGTGATGCTTTGCCATGCTCAGCTTGTATTTCTTGTTTAGCTTCCTCCAATTCCTCTTGCGTGAGCTCC